AAGATGGCTGGGACTGGAGCACTTGTCTTGTGAGGAGAGGCTGAGGGAGGAGGGCTTGTTCAGCTTGGAGAAGGGATGGCTTTGGGGGAGCAAAGAGCAGCTTTCCAGTATCTACGAGGTTATGAAGTCAAGCTCTTCAGTGGTGCATGGCAGGAGAACAAGAGTCGGTGAACAAAACACAAAAACAAAAGAGGTCTAGGGACCTCCTGATGTCCTTTCCAACCTGAGTTACTTTGATTCTATGATTTTGCTATTGTCACCCTAAAACATTGTAATTACATTTTATAGATCATTATAGATGTTTATGTCTTTTAATACTTTGTATATTTTTCGTTAATTCAGGTTTTACCTGTATCTTCTATAAAGTCCATTCTTCCCATGGATTTTGTTCGCAGAAAGGAACAATAGAAATTTGTTGAAGGACTTTTTAATAAACTTAACATCAATTTAATATTATTATAATACTTTTCTGTTAGAAATATGTCACTAGTAAGACACTTTTCTTTATAGATGACATGAATTTGATCAAAACATGCATTAGAATGAAACGTGTATTCCTTCTTATTTTGAAATGTTTACTTAGAATTAGTTTTCCCTGTTACAGCTCTTCTAGATGAGGTATGTTTTTGAACTAGATAGCAGAGCTGCCGCCGTTATACGTGTCGTTGCCTAGCTTGTTTTAACAGCGTATTTTTTGGAGGAAAATTCCCTTTTTAGGAATAAAGTTGTTTCGTAGACGTTTGGGGAAGTCCACGTTCTTTGTCTTCCAATTAGTAGTATCAGTGAGGTAGAATGTATTTTTTACTGTCTAGGAGTAGTCTCTGATTGCCTTCCAGCAGCTTTTTAGACTGCTGTTGATATTGTGGCTTTCTTCCCAAAACGATCTTGAGAAGCCTTGGAGTGGGCCAGTATAGGGATGAGGGAAGAGAGGAATATCCTTAAGTGTTGAAACTGTGGCATACTAAACATGATTGTCCTTTGTTGAAGTGCAAAGGAAAATGAGAAGAACTGAAAAATCCAAATGCTATTAGAAGTCTAATGCATGTGACAATGTTTTTAGTCCAAGTGTCAAGCGATACCAGTTACGTTTAACTGTCACAAAAAACTGTAGATGATCTACATCATGTAGAACAAATGGAAAGTAACTTACTGGATATATTTGAATGAACTGGTTGTCCTTAAAAGATTTTTTTAATGTATCATGCTTTTAACTTTCTTCCTTCTTGAAAGACGGTCCATGGGATACTGTTACTCTGTTATAAAGTAAGATATACAAAGCTTTCAGACCAAAACAATCTCTCATAACCTTACATTTTTCAAAAATATTTTACAAAAAAGAGATAGGAGCCTTGAGGGGGGCACTGGGAAGCCGGTTATGCGCTTTTAAATTAGTAGGTGTCAACTTATGCCCTTGTTTTCCATGAGGTATTAACTAAGGTTGTTCATGTTAAGTTAGCTAGAGATCAAAAGGAATTTCTTTTTGCATTCAGTTACCTATAAGGTTAACGGGGGCGGGGGGGGGGGGTATGGTGGGGGTGTGGTACTGTGTGCTATGTGTGTTTTTTTTTTTTTTTTTTTTTTCCTTTGGAGAAAACCAAATCCTCTTAGCACCTCAAGTCCTGTCATTTTTTGGGCATTTCTCTGTGTGCGTGCATGTATGTGTTCGTATCGGCAATATGGAAATAATAAGCAGCTTTTGTTCTCTTAAGTAGGTTAACTAATTGTATACTAAGTTGGAATTGGAAGCTAGTTCTAAATTCTTTCTTTATCAAAGAAAATAAAGAAGGCCCTCAAAGTGTGAATTAAATGTGTTTCACTCATTTCAGAGAAGTTCCAGCTCTCTAATCCTGCTTGACCCACTTTCCTTAATAGGCACTTGATGGCAAGGAAGTTGGGAGGGGGTTGTTATTATTATTATTTTTTTTTTTTACACACATATTGTCAGTCTTCTATTATGTGTGTAAGAAAAATATTTATAAATAGCTCAAATCTTAGAGCAATGCTTGGAAAACCTTCAGTACTTTTTTTTATTACATGAGAAGGAGACTATCTTACCTATAATGGGGCAGCATTATGGTACTTCAGTGTTTCTAATGGAAATGCTGTTATTCTTCCTGTTTATGTCTGAAGGATGAAATG